TAGCAATAAGTACTGCTACTGTTTAAAAAATACTATCTGGCTAGGTTATTAGTGCCTTACATATATGAACTCATTTTATTTTCACAAATAACCTTGGTTGGTTCTGTCATTTTCCATATTTTGTAGATGAGGACAAGGTAGCAGAGAGGTTAAATTATCTGACCAAGGTCACACAGCTAGTATGTGGAAGAGTCAGAGTCCAGAGCCAGGTAGGTTGGCTTCAGAGCCCATCTTAGACCCTTCCCCTTTTAGAGCCATCCTTCCTGTTTGGTGATTTCTTCCTCCTCATTGCACCTTAGTGTCTCTGACCTGGTACTGGCTGTCCTTCCGGAGGTATCTGGCATTGGTATATATTTGTTATGTTTTAAATATGGGTAGAAATGACCAAGTCCTTAGATATTGGTAGTAAATTAAGTAGTTCTCCCTGAACTTGTAGTCATCTTGCTATAAACAGAAAATTCTATTCTAGTTACTGTTCATTAAAAGCTGTTTGTACTTTTCAGATAGTTTTAGTAGTAGAACTTTTCTATTTGTTCACCGTTTTCTTTTCCAATCAGATTCTGGTATGCTGTCTAATATTCTCCAACAAAAATGTGACTATCAACATAATTGGTAGTCTATTTGTTTGGATTTCTTTTGTTCTTGAAAAACCGTGTTTGTTTTTTGAAACATGCTTAATTCTCTTATGTGGGAAAACGCACATGAGTTTCTTAAAATTTATATTTGGAGAATTCATTGATGTTTTATTGCTATCAAGTGCAAAATTTCATTTTTACAAGTACATGCTGCCTTAGACACAAAGTTGAGCTATACGTCATCTGCCATTCGATGTCAGATGATACCAAAAGTGACCTAGTAAGCAATCAGTGGTTATAGTACAAAAATAATCAAAGGTTTAGTCAATAACTCATGAAGTTTGATGTACTAGTATTGATAAACTAATTAAACAGATCTGCCTGTGTTCTTCTAGCCTACTGGGGCTCTGCTATGATTAGCTTTACAGCAAGGAGTGTTGTAACATTGAATGAAAGTAACTGATCAGAGAATGGTGTAGTCACGGAGCTTTAAGCACTCCCATTTCTGGTCACAGAATGGTTTCAGGGAAAGTAGGCTTTCTCTGCACACCTGCAGCCAGTCAGTGTGTAGACCTCTTGTGGTCAGTATTGATTGATTCTTATAACAGAACTAGAACAAATTTAGTGTTTTGCAACCTTCTGTGATTTAATATTGTTATGCTTTTTGCTATAACAGTCACAAAAATCCTGCTCTAATAGTGAGTAATTATAGCAGTACCTGCTGTCTCAGCTGTCTCTGAATGTTTCTGTCTCACCAATATAAGTTACTTGGTTTAAAAAAAAAAAAAAAGGGTGTCACTTAGAAATCACAAGAGGACAAGGGGGGGTGGGTGGATTCCAACTCATGATTCTTTTAAAACTTTCCAGAGAACTGTAGATGGAGATCTGAATATAATTAGTAAGGAGAAAGACTATTTTAAATGATTAGTTAAAAAAAAACCACACAGAAGTAAAAGACTTTGGAGACAATCTTCTTAATACTTACTGTTTCCTCATAGTATGTTCAGATTGTCCTTCTAGACATTTATTTGGTGAACTATAACTATTGGTGGTAATTCAGATCCTAGATGTAGCAATCTAATGGTAAATGTCTTAATTTTTTTCAACCTGCCATTGGGCTGTGATGTTTCTTTCATTCAGCTGATAATTATTGAGCGTTTAGTATATGCCAGGCAATGTGATAGGTAATGGCAACATACAGGTGAGTAAGGAATGGTTCCTGTACTAAATAAAACCTCATGTTCACTCCAAGATGCATTTGAAAAGTAACTCACTTAAATACATCTTGTGATTTGATATGTTGAAATTGCTATAAATCAGAACCTGTGTTAGTATTTTTTGGCACTTAGGAAATTAGTTGTAATATTATGAGTTTTAAAACCTGGTTGGGGAGAAAATGATGTATATTTTAGACAATTAGATAAGTGCTTCTTAAACTGTAATTTAAGAATTTTTAAAATTTATATTTCCATTTAAAAATAAAACATTAAGTATATTTTAGATCATTTGGTTGCCATCTTATATACTAGTATCACATAATTTTGGAACCCATTTTTATTTTTGTGTAAGATCACTTGGTTCCACAATGGCTTATGGACTTTGAGGGGAGTGAGTTGATATGATATGTAGATGCGTGGTCACTTGGGTGAGACTGCCATTGATTGATTGGTAGTCAGAGGTGTGTTATTTTTTGGAGTGAGTTTGTTCCTGATTGGCTAACATTCACAGATTGGTTAATTTGGCAAAAGTTTGTTCATTTATCTGAGTTTTTGTTGATTATTGAACAGGTTTACAACAGTTCGGGTGGCTATATGTTACGAAAGCTACAGAAAAAGCTGTCTTCTTAGGGATCTTAAAAATATTTTCAGTTTGAGATTTTTTTTTATAATGAAAAAGTTTAAAATACTTTTATAATCAGAGAAAATACTATTACTTTGTGTTGGAGGACATCTGGAAAGAAGAGATTCATCCCTAAAGTGAAAATATCTTTATTGTTTTATCTGAACACAATTTTCATATTTAAAAAGTTAAATAATTAGGTGGATGTAAAGAGTGAAGGTCGTTGGTTAATACCAACACCTAGAGGTAATCACTGTTAACATTTTGCTGTATAGATTTCTCAATTTTTATGCTTACCTGGCTTGAATCCTTGTTCTTCCTTTAATAGGTGTGCTATATTGGTCAAATTACTTAACTTCTCTGTGTTTCGGTTTCTTCATCTGTAACATAGGAATACTAAAACCTGTTCATTGAGTAGTTAGTATAAAATGAATTAAGCTAAGCAAAACATTTAGAACAATGCCTGGCACATAGTTAGTGCTACTTATAAGGATTTGCTATTATTGCCATATTGTACCCATTCTAAGATATTTGTTTTCTATTTTAAAGTTTCTGCAGACTTACCTTTACAATTGATGGTGACGCATAATTGGTAGGGATTTTGTTCCTTTCTTTGTGGTTCATAATATAATGGCACATCTTATAATTGATGGTCTATTGTAGATTGATGAAATACAATATGTATCTATTTTTTATTAATACAGAAGTGAGATCATACAATGCATAATATTTTGTACTTTTAAAAATTTTACAAGGACATATTTTCAATGTTGAGTATAAATTTATTTAATTCTATATAGCAGCTGCATAGTAAAGTATTATATGGATATATTGTATTTATTTTACTGTTCATCTATTAATGGACATTTAATTGTTTTATTTTTGCTTTTTTGGAAGATTTTGATTAGTGGAACTTGGGGGAGAGTAGGGCAATATAACCTGAGTGGAGATTGAGACAAAAAGTGCAAGGTATATTGGGGGACTGTTCCTTTTTGACTAGAAAGGAAGTTTGGGGCAAATTTTTGGACTGTATTGAGTACTGAGTTAAGGATTGTAGATTTTGTTTTTAAGATTTTTGTGGATTCATTTAACACTGAAAAGTAATTAGAAATAAAGTTTTTGTTACTTTCACCTATAACCCTGTCGTATAGAAGAATGGATTGATATGAATTTAAAATTGTGTTTAGCGTTTTTATTAATAATGATGTAGAAAGTATACTCATCAAGTTTTCACTTGTGCTTGTGAAAAACTGTGCTCAAGAACAGCAAAATAGGTCAAATTACTAATTAAGTTCTAAATTATCTTAGGATGTTATGACGAGTTGAGTTTCAGTTGTTGAAACTTTCTACAGGTAAATGGAAGATCTTGCCCTTTAAAACAAACAAAAAACAACCTCGCCAGAACAGTTACTCAAATCTGGGTTGATTTAGTCAGTAGTACATTTTGAAAAGGTATATTATTACAGTTAAAAATCAGTTGTGTCAGTGGAAACACCACATGTGGAACATGGTCTTAACGAGGTGCTTCTCCTTTGACTTCATTTGTAGTTTGGAATGCCACGCTGAAAGATGTAGAGACAAATGGGAGTGAGTTCAGAAGAGAGCAAAAGGCTGGTAAAGGAATGCGAAGCTATGTTGTGTCAGGGAAATTTGGAGTGTGAGGGAAGGCAGGCCATGGCAGTGGTTTTTAAAGTAGTCAAGAATAGTTACTATGATACAAAATATGGGCCAGCGTAGGTAGCACTGTTTTTCCTTTGCAGCATCAGTTCCAGCTATTTCAGGCTACTTCCCCTTATTTCCTATGCTCTATGAACATTCCATAAACTTGTACTAGATGTACTATATGTACTGTATTGATATTTAAGGAATTGAATCAGGCGCTTGTATCTGAAGATATTTGAGAAGGGAGGAACAGACTATGAGCAGTGCCAGAAAGAGGCAATTGAGGAATTTTAACTCAAATTCTAAGTTTTCATTTAACGTTTCTGTTCATCATAATTTTGTTATAAATGTAGTGATTAAATTGCTTTTAAAAACAGTTTTCAGAACACACTCCCAGCCTTTTGGAATTTTTGTTAAATTAAGTTGGTATTATTGTCACACATTATTCTTATTGAGCTGAAGATATCATGTACTGTATATTGGAATGTGCATCTTACCATAGAGTCAGATTTGAGGCTCCAGCACCTTTTGACAGATGAGGAACATAAACTCCTATACCAGATAGTTAGGGGACAGAGCCCAAGTTCTTTCTATTATCTGTATCCCTCATTTTGAAAATACTTTTGCAGTTCAGCTAATATTTTAACATTCTTGAATGAGTTTTGCTCAGGGACTTTATATTCTCTTTGAAAGGAAGGACACCTTGATAGGTTGTTACTATTATAAATTGGATTACTAAAATTCCTATTTCACAGGCTTTTTCTGTTGCCATTCATTATCCTACAATATATTATCTTTATTTTACAATCTAAGCTATGACCAGCTTCACTTTACTTCAAGAAAATTGAGAATGGATTTTGGTATAGAAAATGTCCAAGTTTTAGTTTTTACTCTTACTATGATTATATGATTTTTTTTTAACAGATCAAGAAATTAGTATATGTTTACCTGGTTCGATATGCTGAAGAACAGCAGGATCTGGCACTCTTGTCCATAAGTACTTTTCAGCGAGCTCTGAAGGTAAATAATAGTGAGCAGGCAAATAGCTACAAGGTGTCTGCACAGTTGAAGGTGTGTTATTTTAAAAAGTGGAGCAATAACTCACTAAATGGCACAGTTGTGTTTTGAAAGAGTTAAAAGGCCTCTCACAGTGCCTATTCAATACCCTTAGAAAGTAATTTATATAAGCAACTGGACCTTGCTCTGCATGTTTCAGTGTCTATATGTTCATTTATGTTCAATATAATTATCATGCATCAAAGAACTCTTCATCATTTTATCAACTAGTTGGTAAAAATGTACAAAGAGGGTACATGACTTTTTTAAAGATAAAATTTATGACCTGCCCCATTTTATTACGAAACTCAAAAACCTAGCATGTTTAGTAATAAATGATTAACTAGAATTACAACCGTTACTTTTCTTGTTAAAATATTATTCAGAGAAATAAACCTTTATTTAATTATTTTTTTCCATACCCATTTCATATACTGGTTGTTTATTTTAAATTAAGTAATAGCTTTTTTTTGGCTATTGTTTCATTACAGTCTATAAGCACTTCTTAACCGTGTGATAAAAATGTCTGAAATATTGTAAACTTGAAATTTTGATGAATATTTTTGCACTGTTTTTAGGACTCAAATCAACTAATTCGTGCAAGTGCTTTGAGAGTTCTGTCCAGTATTAGAGTGCCAATTATTGTACCTATTATGATGCTCGCTATTAAGGAAGCTTCTGCGGATTTATCACCATATGTTAGGAAGAATGCAGCCCATGCAATACAAAAATTATACAGGTAGGTGCTTTGCTAACCATACCAAAGATCTCTAATGTTGTGTGGACTGTTATAAGCTCATGTCTTATTTTATTAGCTCCTAGAACTAGTTTGTTCTTATACTAAGGAGATTCAGTGACTGTGTGTTTCCCCCACATTCTTTAGATATCTTTAATTTTGGTTTGGTTGTAGAGACCCTAGGCAGGTTTTTACTGGTGAGCCTATTAGGTAGGGCCTGTGATCATTTATAGACTTTATAACTCGAAAATAATCAGAATTTGAATTCTCGTTTATATAATCTATCTATCATGTACACATACACTTACATTATGAGAAAATAAAGATTATTGTAGGGTAGAGTTGTAAGTATGTTATCTTTTCAACTCACTTTGTTTTCCCTTCTTCCATCTTTGGCCTTGTTGTTTCCTTCCATGTCTGATCTTTCCCAGAGCTATTTTATTAAATAATTTTTTAAATACTGATTTTTAAATGTAGCACCATGCCATATTTGTATGATATTTATTAAATATGATGCCTTGATTTCTGTGGTAAACATAGTGCCTAAATAAAAAACTATTATCAGTAATATTTTGGTATTATTTTCTGTTACCATTTATTCCAAAAGCTTTTATCAAGATTATTTTGTGTTTCTGGTATTGTATTATGTGTGTAAAATGTATGTATTAGCACATATTTGAAGGGAAAAAAAACCCCAAACATTTGTCAAATAATTAAAGGCAACCTAATTGAAGAAGGTATTGACATATGATATATGTGTATGCAAAAGCACATACATACAAAGGCGAAAACCTTTAATAGGATAGGGCCCAGAGATTATCATGTGGGTTTTCATGATGTAAAGATGTAATGAAATGGCATCAGTTAGGAAAGACTGTTTGGAGAAGGGAGACTGGAACTGAAATTAGAAAAAATTGAAAGGTTTGAATGTTCAGAAAATTATGATTAATAATAAACTTATATAATGTTTGTAAAAAGTAACAACTAATTTTCTTAGGTTAACTGTCAGACAAAGTTATATTATGCTTCTCACTTATTATCTATTTTTGTTATAAACTTGTAGAATAAGATCAGAGTTTTTACTATGACAGTTTAAAAGTCCATTGCTGAGCTCCATTTTATCCCTTCAGGCTTAACCTTTATTCTCTGCCTTGAATTTACAGTTTGGTAGTTCGGTACTGCCTGTTAGTCCTCTACATAAAATGTTTTCATCTCATTACCATCTCTTGTTCCTCCTTTAGTCTTTACCTAGAAAATTTCCTCCTTTCTCCAGCTCTAAAGTCAAGTTGTTTAAGATTCCTCTGAGGTGTCACTTCCTGTAAGAAACCCTCCACAACCCTCCTGCGTTCACTGGTGCCCTTCCTTTTTATCTCCATGATCCCTTATACGCATACATATCTCTGTTAATATGGTATGATTGTGTTTGGGACTGTCTTCTTTATCTTTGTATACCCATTGTTTAACTTCTCAGTAAATGAACAACAATTGAATTCCATGCTAGGAAGACATATTGTCACTATTTCATTGCTTAGAACCGCTATTACGATGGCATGTTTCAATGCTGTATGTACGTAAGCCTTCACTTATATTTCTTGGTTTCAGATGGTAGGTTTTATAATGCACGTCTCCATCAGTGAACTAGAATGATACAAAATTCTTATTTGGAAATTCTGTATATTTGTTTTTGACAATTATGTATCCATAATAAAAAATGATTGCTATTTTGTTATTTTTTCCCCCAGTTAAATAAAGAATTTCTGGTATATCTACAGTTACTTTCTTAATGTTTTGTAACTTTTTTTTTAGAAGTGAATTTATTCTTTACTTTCTTAATGATATTGGTATTTGGGTTTAATTAATATGAGCAACTTTGGAGAGAAAGATTAAGAACATTTGGGAGGAAAACATCCTATTTTACTTTAAATATGATTTCTGTTTGTTTCTGTTTTTACGTAATTCTTGCTCCCTCTTTTAAAATTTCTCAATATTCTTGAGTAGTTTCATTTAAAGTTACAATTAAAGGAAAAAAAATTAATGTATGTTCTTCTTATATTTTAGCCTTGATCCAGAGCAGAAGGAAATGTTAATTGAAGTAATTGAAAAACTTCTCAAGGATAAAAGCACAGTGAGTAATATCTTTTTATGTCGAAGTAAAATTGTGTTTTATTTACATAATATTTACCATTGTATATTTGCTATAATTTTTCTTACTGATTTTAAAATGGTATAAATATTAGTGGAGCTCATTAAAATTCTTGAATAATAAAAATATCCATATAGAGAGAAGGCTTGCATTTAGAATTTTAGTTTGTTATGTGTTTCTTCATCAGAGTCTAAAGAAGAGCAAGTGGGGGAAAAAAATCTTTTCTTTGCAGTGTGGCAAAATTGTTGACTGATTTTAGTGCCAAAATTTTTATTTCAAGCAATGATTTATTAGGATTTTTAAAGGCTTAATCACCTGGGAACAAATAATTGTTTTAAAATGAAGTATTAGGAAGTATGAAAGAGAGATGGAAAAATTAGAGGAGTATGTTTTAGTATTATAAATCTATTTTTTTTTAAATAAATATTTTCATATGTACAAGACTATTTTATTGGCTGGAATGATCTTACTGGTAAATGTCTTTTGGGAATGTACATATTTTCCCTCCTCCCTTCCCCATTCCCATCCTTTGTTTGTGGTGATAATGAGGTCTGAGACTAGTGATGATGACCTGTGGGGTCTTTGCACAGACTTCTGGAGGAGCTGGTGTATTGGTATCTTTGATAGAGGCTTCTGCACCCACCTGTATCACTCAACTATTGGGGGAAAAGATGCCAGCTCATCTTAGGATGATATCACCAAGGAGCATGAATATCCATATATAGCAGTGATCTGATACAGTAGCCACTAGCCCCAAGTAGTTATTGTTGCATGGCTTAGCATGTGGGCTGTCATGGAGAAGGTTCTATATGCACTTGAGAGGGATGTATTCTGCTGTTGTTGGGTGGAGTGTTCTATATATGTCTATTAGGTACAATGTTGTTGAACTTCTGCTTGGTGATTTTATCCATTTTTGAAAGTGGAATATTGAAGTCCACTACTATTTGGTTGTCGGAAAAGTCATGATGTAGTTTTCTATTTTTCATTGCAAAAATGCATCATGACTTTCCCGACAACCCAATATTATTATAGAGCTATTTCTCCTTTTAATTCTGCCAGTGTCTACTTCATATATTTAGGAATCCTGATGTTTGGTGCATATATGTTTATAATTGTTCTATCTTTTTTTTTTGACATTATAAAATGTCCTTCCATCTCTAGTAATGCTTTTCATTTTAAAGTCTATTTTGTTTAATATAAGTACAGCCACTCCAGTGTTTTTTATGGTTGCTGTTTACGTGATACATCTTTTTCCTTGCTTTTACTCTCAGCTTGTGGTTATTTTTGAAACTAGTGTGTGCCACCTGTAGCAGAATATAGTTAGATCTTGTTTTTTAAATTCAGTTTGGCAATATGTGCCTTTGATTAGGTGGTTTAATCCACACACATTTAATGTTATTATTGATGTAATTGAATTTACAGCTGTCATTTTACTTGTTTTTTTGTTTCATGTCTTTTGTTTTTCATTCCATTTTTACTGCTTCTTTACATTAAATGAATATGTTCTATTAAACATTTTAATTCCTTTAATGAGTTTTTCACTATATAGTTTTATGTTATTTTTTAAAGATTTTATTGGGGAATTGAGGAAGGGGGACAGACAAGTTGCTGTCCTTTTGTTCTTCAGTCTAGTTGTAGAGGATGTCGCTTCACTAGCCTGTGTTGGTATTATCATTGCACTTTTTCTGGGTGAGGCAGTCACTTGCCGGCCATTGGACGGCGACTCACGGCAGCCCAGCTCCAGGTCGACCTGTTGTTCACCATCTTAGCTGTAGAGGGCGCAGCATCACTGGTCCTCATGTGGGATCCAAACCGGGGCCCTGCTGCTCAGAGCTGGCATCCCAAGCCAACTCCTAACCAGCGCGCCACTCGGCCAGCCCTCACTATATAGTTTGGAAAATATTGTATTATACATGAGATTATACTTGGAGATTTCATTCCTAGGTCATCCAGTAAATTTCTTTTAGTCCATAATATAACAGAAATCTTAATTGCATTTTTTCTGTGTTTGGTATAATATAGGAGGTAAACAAATACAGATTTGCTCAATAAATGAAGACAGAAACAAAAAACTTAATTCGTTTTTGTCTCCTGTATGGCATACTTGTTATCTGCTTCTAGGACCCAGATATGAAATCAATATTATTGATATAATGGTTAACTTGATTTTAGTAATAATAAAATAACATTTAGTTTTTTCTATGTGCAAGACATTTGCTAAATACTGTGGAGAATATAGTAAGATCTACAAGAAACAGTTCTTTTCATGTAATTTACCATGATTTCTGCTACATTATACACTAAAATAAATTTGTCGCATGGCCTAGGAGTGAAATCTCCACATGTAATGTGTGCATGTCTCCCCAAACAAGATAAATCACAAGTGAAAAGTACAGTCTTTGTAATTAGACAGAATTGGATTTGTGTCCGAACTTCTCCCACTTAGTAGCTGTTGTATGTAGAGCCTTTATGAGTTCAGTTTCCAAACTTGTAGGTTTTATATTTCTAATGTATAAAGGTTCTGTTTGTATTGAATGAGTTTTTGTATATAAAATCTTCAGCACAGTGCCTGACACCATAAAAAGGGGTTAATAAATACTCCAAATAAGAAGTAAATACTCAAAAAGGAATGTAAAGGACCATTTCTTTGTAAATTTGGAGTGTCTATTCTTGATTTCTGATCATTTATTTCTAAAGTACAGTAGAAGATATATTGATTACTTGTTCACAGTAGGTATTTAATATTTGTTGAATGATTGTGGAATTTGTTATATTCTTGGTGATGGAAATTAGGTGTTTACTACTATTTGTAATGTTTTGCTTCACAAATGGTGTGTGTCGTGCTTAATGTTCATAGGTAGATCTTTTGGGAGCTTTGATGGTCTTATCATTTTTGAGGCACTCTTTTCCTAAAGTGTTATATAGTATATATTTATGTGTTAAAAATTAAAAAACACATCTATATTTTTCTATCTAGATCAAACAGCAATAGTTTATTTATACTGATACCTCTAATTCCAGTGTTAACAGCACAGGGTTCCTTCTAGCCTACCTTTTCAACTTCTTTCACTAGTTTAAGAAATGTGGCTCCCGCTATCCACAAAATATTTACTTATTTGCTCAGTCCCGGAATGCAGAGAAAGTGTTGTTTCAGAATTGCTAGCATGTACTTCTGTCGGGAGTAGTGAGGACAGAGACTTACCAAGTTAAATGTTGGTTTAGAGTTGCGTTTTATCTTTAGTCTAACGTCTTTGATGCTATTATAAATTGAAATTACTTTATCATTATATCCTTGAACTTGTTATATTGGTATATAAGAAAGCTATTGATTCTCTGTATGGTAATTTATATCCTGTTTCTTTACTGAATTCTTTTATTGTTTAATTTAGTTTTGTCCTTCATTCGCCATAATTTATTCTAGAAAAGAATCATATCATCTGCAAATAGAAGTTGTTTTGCTTCCAATTTCTGTGACTGATTTTGCTTGTCTAATTATACTGGCTTCTACCTTTAGTACAATGTTTAACAATAGTGGAGCTGGTGGCATCCTTGCCCTGTTTTGATCTAAAGGAAATGGCTGTAATGTGTCTGCATTAAGTCATCTGCTGGTCCTGAGGCTTTTCTCTTTATCTTTGAAATATTATAGTTTTACATGGTATCTCAGGATAACTTGAACTGGGTCAATATTTTCCTAGTACCCAGTGAGCCTTTCAAAATGTAGATTCAGAACTTACATTATTTCTGGCAAAGTGCTACTTTTTAATTAAGATTATAGTTTTAAATATTAATTCTGTTCAGTTCTTACTTTTCCTTCAGGGATTTCAATTTTAGGTAAGTTAGATTTTTTTTGCCTGTCTTACATTTCAGCCACGTTTCTCTGAATCTTTTTACTTCTTTCTTTACCTTATTTTCGTTCTCTTGATTCTTTTGCTACTTTTCTTTAATGCCCTTTATTAAATTTTCATTCAACCATTTTCTTCTGGGACACTTTACAATTTAATCATCATGTCTGATTTTTTTTTTTCCCCTCTGTTCTTTCCTGGTTTCAATCAACTCCTGTTTTATTTCTTCCTGATGTCTTTTGTTCATTTTCTTTTGTTCTCTGTTTTTGAATTTCTGATTTATGTTCAGTTTTCAGATCTTCAGATGCTTCTTTGAGGTTACTTAATTCATCTTGGCATTTTGTGTTACAGTTTTCTTTTGCTTCGTCATTGCTTTTTTTGTGGGTAATTTTCATCAGTTTAACTGTTTTGATTTTCATGTTCTGTTTTCAATACTTACAGATTACTTGCATCTTTACATTTCTTTGGATAGGGTTGGTGATTTGAGTTTGAGGTAGTTCGCAAGATTCCTAGTAAAAGAGTACCCTGTCTGTCAGAATAGCAAAGTATGTTTATTTTAATTCAATGGCTGTTTGTGGGGAGGACGTCCATAGGAAGAAATGTACTAGCTAAGATTATTTTGATTATTATGAATTTTTTAAGTTGTAGGATCCTAAAGTTTTCCTCTTAATTTCTTTTTCTTTCACATTACAGTTTCTAAGGGGCGCCTCTTCATCCACCTCTTTTTAAACCATATTTTCCTTGAAACTTTGCCGTTTCAAGATAGCCTAATTGAATTCCCTTCCCACTCTCCTCAATGAAGTCCCATCCTCATAATTTGATCTACTAGGAATCTTTTACAGTGTTTGCACATTAGAGTACTCTTGCTTCTTTCTGCTGTTGATTTTAGTTCTTTTTTTGTGCCCACCACCAACTCCTGTCATAGATTTTTGTAAAATTTTGTGATATAAGCATGAAAGATAATTCTTTTGGATTTAAGACTTAGTTTTCTACTTACATGTAATTTGAAGTTTGGAAATTCTCTGTGTTTCAGTTAGGCTTAGGACACAGGTGTGCATCTGTAGTTCTTCTGGGCTTGGGTTGGAAAATGCAGATTTACCCAGGTAGCATTAATTTGTCTACCAAGTATTTAAGTTAGTTTGCTCTGATAATGTTTTCTTATATATTTTTTCCTTTGTAAAATTATAATCTATTATAGAAAGGTTAAAAATACTCTGATGTCTATGTAAATATTTCTGGGTCATTGTTATTACTTTTGCTTGTCACATGTCATACTTTATTGAAGGAAGACAGCTGCATTTCTTCTCTCCCTCAAATTAATAATGTCAGTATTGACATTTAAAATCAATAAGAATCCCAAATTATTTTTGTTTAAAAATTTCCCAATTAAATGAACCAGGTCTGATTTATTCCCACATTTTGAAAAGGAATGTATTTGTTATCAGCAGGAGCTTCTTGGGATCATTATTATAATGATTACATTGCTATTGCTGCTGATTAATATAAATTTGAAAGGTGCTAATCCAGTTAAAAATTCAACCTCTGTTGATTTTGAAATATTCCTTCTGTTGCTTATTTTAGCCTAAAGGAAGATTTTCTAACAATTGAGATCTCAAAAGACAAACAAACAAACAAACTAGTTCTGTATTTCTCATTTTAATGAAAGGTGACAATGTAAACATATTAAAATATAATAGAATGGTTTTTCCCTTCTAGAGAAAGACCAGTATTTGTCATATGAATAGTCCTTTCCTAAAAATAAGTCACTTTGGGTTTAGGAATATAGTTATGGTAATATAGCTGGAAGAACATTTTACTGTTACTTAGGTAACTGTTGTCTGAAGGTATCTGTAAATTTTAAAAGCTATAATATAAACCTCATAACTACAATCAATGAAATTAAAAGGAAATATTTTATCTATATTCTATCATCTCCAATCAATTTGTGTTTTTATTCATTTTATATTTTTAGATTTACCATTTTCATCTTGTTTTCTCGATGTAGCATATCCTAAACACTTCTTTACTGCAAACGTTTCCTAATGTTTAGTCTTAAATTCATTTTTTAAATTTGTAACACTTTCTCTTGTAGATATCTTTCAAATGTAGAAATCCATATTTGTTGCGCAATTTAAGCATAGCTGTGGACAGTCTTTTTATTTAGAACACTTCAAAAGCAGGGTGGTATTTATTTTCTTTTCCTATCAGTCTAATTCTAAAGAAATCCTTTTGATTGCATTTAGCTTTCTAGCAGAAAACAGAGTTTCTTAGGAAAACAAATGCGGTCAATGGCTACTGAAAAACTGAGTTGTTTATATTTTTTTATGAAAAAGTTTCCTCTCTAATTTAGCTACAAAATGATATTTAATGAATATATTGGTAGTTCATAACTAAACTGTGGGGGTAAGACTCCATTTTGTACGTTATTGATTTAATGTTGGTAAAAGCCTCACTGCTGTGTGCAAAAAAACACACCTCTGAGTTTGTGCAGATGTTTTGTTGTGATAGATCTATTATCCAGCTATTAGAAGATAAATGACTGATCTTTCCCATTTTCCATGCCTCAAGAAAATTGAAATAAGAAGGGGAATATCATTTGGGCTGTATGATTAGGGCAGGTTGGATGGCCATTAATTTAAGAGAAGAAAATCTTGGCAGCATTGGCCAACTTACACCATATTATCAATCAAACCTTGATGCACTTCTTGTGATGACCCAGCACTCTCAGGTTTTTGCAACGTTAATTAGAATTCATGACAAAATAGATGCAAGGAAACGTTTTGTACCCTTCATAATTTTATAGAAAATTTATTGTTATTAAAGGAACCATTTGCTTAGTGTGATTTTTTTCATTACCAGCTTGTCAACTAGCATAGATAATCTGGAGAAAATATGAACTCCATAGATGGGGTGTCACTTTTGTTGATGGTTCATGTAGTTTACCTTGGAGCACAGCTAATGGCTGAAGTTCATAGCAACAGCACAGAAAAACGTGGCAACCAAGGGAAGATAAATGAACCATGTTTATTGCTTTAATATAAAAAATACATAAATGGAAAACTGCATTTGAATTTGATGAGCTCATTGCTAGTTTTGCTGGAGTGATTTATTTTTCCCCTTATTTAAAAAGCTAGTATTGACACAGTGAGATGGAAATTAACTGTCTGTTTTTGGGAAACCAATTTTTTGGTTTTAAAATCTGAGTAGATCACTTTATTTTAATTTTGGGAGTTTTATCGAATATTGAACATTTAGTGGACCAAAATTATCAATTCTTCTGACAGTATTTAACCTAGGATCAGTTTGTTAAAACCATACAACGAAACTTTTAAAACAGTCAGTTTTATTTTGTGAGGGTACTTTTCTTTACATCCTTCCTAATTATTTTTGGGTTTCCTTAAACTTTATTGGTGCTTAAGTAATTATTTTCTTTCTTTTTTCATGCTCTTTGTTAGTACTTTAGAGTTACTATATTGTATCTGTAGCTCTTGATTTGATAAATATAATACGGTGTGGTAGCTGATTGTTTTAAATTGTTTGGTGTCTGTGACACACTTTGAAAATAAGACTCTCTAAGAGGCTTAGACAAAATACCTTGATTTTAAATAGTATTTCTTAAATTTAAACTGTTGAATTACTGTTTCACTTCCATGGATTGTTTTATTCTAAGTGGTATTACTCATTTATGTACTTGAACACCCTTTACCAATTGATTTATTAGTATGATTGACATATATTAAATGTATACAAGTATCGATACATTTCAGAAATACTGAGTTATTCTATAGTTTGATGTCATAAGCTTAGTTGTTTTGAGTGCTTTTTAAATGGTACTAATTCTGTCCTTTTAGAAATATCATTATCACAGAATACAATTTTTGAAGATTTTATGCAGAAGATACCAAAATGTAAAGTTGAAAATATGAACTTAACTTCCTTTACATTTCAGTAGCGAATAGAAAATTATACATATAATACATTTTCATTTAGTTCACACAAATAATCAGTTCTTTGCTTTTTCAACTGAGGTACATACATGCTGGGACCAGCAGGCACCAGTACATGGGCAGGGCTGGAGTCAATAAATGCAGCTTCACGTTTATACTGATTGGTAATTCATAAAATCCCCACAGGACAGGAAACTTGTTTAGCATAATAGCAGGTCTATATTCTGAGCTGTTTTCTTTCAATTGTATTGTTGGTTGCATATTAATAAACTAAATGTCAGCCAAGTAGAGGGACAAACACTAAAAATATGAATATCATTGTATCTAATATTTTTCAAAAAGTACCATTTCAGTAAGTTATATTTCTATTTAATTGCTTATTTTAAGTCATTGGGGAAATTTTGGACACAAAAATAAAGATCCCTAGTGTTCAGAAATAAAATGATATTAATTTATTTTTTCAAAACTGTGTTATATTGTTTGCTAACTGTACATAGATCAGTGATACATATATGGAAGTATTTGTAGATTATATATTTTTGCTTAGCTTGTATCTTTATATCAAAGAAATTTTAATTTCAGCACTTTGCAGAAGCATGACAACTCCAAAAACAGCATTTATGATTTGTTAATTGGTCATAGGGAAAGCTGCCTTTTGTAGGTAATATATCATTTCAACTTATACACATTATTAAGTGATAAAAATGTACTAATATTTTAGCCTGTGTGTTTTCTTTGTAAATACATTTTATTGGTAAAAATTAACAGGTGAATTAAAATGTGTATGATTTTAAGGTGTTTCTGTACAAAACGCTTTTGTTCCTCACACATTTTAAGATAATTTCATTGTAAATTATTGTATTCTCATTCTCATTTTTTACTGATATGATGTGGTACTTGTTTTAGTCTTCATTCTTTTTCTGAGTATTGTCATGTGTTAAATAATGAATCTTTAGATTAGAATATAGGTTAGCTTTAAAAATGAAAAATGTACATGATGAGTATGCTTTATCCATGTATGAACAATTTATTGAAATTTAACCTGATGAAATAAAAAAAATTATCACAATTTCTAACACTAATACTTTCAATTCTAATATTTCAGAAAAATATTAGCTGTGTAGACATGTTACTACTATTAAAATTATTCTTTGAGGCAGTGACACTTTAAAATTTATTTGTTATTTAAACACATATAATAATTTATTAACTAAATGACTGAATACTTTAAGTATTGATTGTCATAAACCTGGTCGTACCTCTGAGTAGAATCTTTAATGGTAGAAAAGTTTTTTTGTTTTTAATAAGTTACTATTTCTTTCTTTTCTAGCTGGTAGCTGGCAGTGTTGTGATGGCTTTTGAAGAAGTCTGCCCAGATAGAATAGATCTGATTCACAAGAATTACCGCAAGCTCTGCAATTTACTAGTTGACGTAGAAGAGTGGGGCCAGGTTGTCATCATCCACATGCTCACGCGGTACGCCCGGACACAGTTTGTCAGTCCTTGGAAAGAGGCAAGTGTTGAACAATCTTCTGCTTTAAAATATACTTATACTTTAAGAACTTGGATGAGCTTTAAAAAAATGTGCACACAAAGCTAGAGTAGTAAAACATAGAAATCTGCATATATAAGGAGGTCTCATTTTTCTCATATTCTTTTGGAAAGCTGTAAATCAATATAAATGCAAGGATAGTTGTTCATTGTTTTGGCACTGATTGATACATACTTAATGGCCTAGTATATAAGCTTTTAGTATGATTTGTGGCAAGAGGCCCCTGTGAGGACCCACAGCATGAAACAGTGTCTGCAGTGACATTGCCAAATCATGGATTTTTTTTTTTAATTTTTTTACATCTTTGACTCCCAACTGTTTGAGGGACTCACTTGTAAAAGTAGATGATATGATTCTAACACATGTGAATTTATACCTAAGATAATTTCTTGCTTTTATAGATAAGTATTGTTTAACTTGTAAACTACTTTTTCCTGTATTTCTAAAATATGCTTGTTTTTCTTTTTTTTCACTTAGGCTGATAGAATTTTAGTAAAATTAGTAATTAAATATACTTTGAAATTGTTTTCTTTGTGTAGATTAACTAGAGGCACACCTTATTCTTTTCACTGTATTAACAATTTAAAAAATTTTATTACGTAATTTGCAATAGAGATCTCTCAGTGTATATATATTTAAAATTTAAGTATAAGTTTTAAACTTGTTTAAAGAAAAGAAATCATTAAACATTACAAGAATGGCACATTCATTCTAATAATTTTTTGATATTTCTTTTTTGTCTTTTTTGAAAGCAGTATTATAGATTTTTTAAAATCAGCTGTATGAAAGTAAAACATCAAAAATCCCCAAATAATGTCTTAGTGACACAAACTTAAGAATAGGACTTCAGTGCTCAGAAACTTATGAATAGACCTTGAGTACTCAGTACATCTCATTTTTGTTAATTAGAAATACATAATACTAAAGGGAGAAGAGAAATGTACATAAAATGGAAAAATGTTCATTATACATGCTTTAGATGACATATCAAGCTTTCAGATGTTTAAGAAGTTTAAATGTTTAAAGTGTTTATCAATGTTTTCTATGACTTAGTATTGTTAGTGTAAAAAGCATTTAAAAATTTTAAAACTAGCTTTATCCACAAGATTATTTGTAATGTTGACTCCATCTTAATTTTAATATTAAAAAAGTGTTTAGACTATTCTACTTAAAAATTGGAGTATGTTTTGAATTAGTCATATATCAAAGTCTTGTGCCACATAGAGCTCTTAAATTGATGAAATTTTACTGTCTGTGCTTTCATTTTATAAAATTAATTTTATCATTGAGTAAAATATACTTTTAATGGCACTTTTGCTGGTAAGCAACATGTCCATGCTGCAAATTCTTGGCCCTTTCATGTAAATAGTAACTTTGACAAGAGATTTTTGTTGCTAATAGCTAGTTGTTTAATTTCAGCCAATTCTTTTCCGGAATGCTATTCAGATATTTTTTTTTCCTGTTGTGTAATGTTATAGGAATTTTCCCTTAGTGGCTAGATATTTTTTATTTTACTTTCCTTTCACCATCGAACTATTTTCAGTAGCTATAAGCAAATGATCCTTTGCTTTGTCATTATGTATAATTGGAGTTAAAATATATACTTTCTTTACCACGTCTTCTAAAAATATGTAACGAACTTTAAAATCTCGTTTTTTGCAGTTTGTCTATTTATTTGTGTTTGTGTTCCTTGAGCTTTATATCATCTTATTTTAGATAAAATGCATGTTTAAAGCTATTTTCAAAACAAAGATTTTAGGTTCTATGCTACAATATATATTTAATCTTTTGATAGAGAATTTGAAAAATTGGGACTATATGCATTCTTTATTTTCACAAGTTAACTCTATGGACATTAATCATTACAAACATGAGATGAAGTCTGGCCATTGTCCTGGTACACTGGAATTGAGCTAAATAATTTCTTATATTTGCTACTTATTTGCAATCTGACCTTGGCATTATTGAAAAATTATGTGGTTAGTGGACTAATTCAGTAGTTTCCAAGTGTGCACCTCCGCCCTCAGGATGTTGTAGCACTGCCACTGGAACAACCAACGGGGATGGACGCTGGCGCTCAGACTGCAGCTTGCTGGGCTCTTGTCACTGTTCCAAACAGAGCCAACTTCACCTTTGCCTACCTTTCATGTACGCAGCTTTGCATATGATTTCCTTTGAGAAAGAGTCCTTGGCTTGAAAAGAAAGAAAAATCCCCACTAAAATAGAAGATTTGTAAGGGTTTAGCTAACTGTAATCATGTGTGTGTTTTTTTTAAATTATAGAAGCAATGCAAACACATAGTGATATAAAAATTAAGTCTTTTCATAACATCTTGGTAGACTCCTTAGAGGCAATTACTGACAATGATTTTTTTTTTTTCTCTTCAACACTTACAAAAGTTTATTTATTGAGTTCTATTCTTTCTAGATATCCACAAAACTTCTTAACAATTTGTAAACCATTTACATAGCAATCACATGCAAACATGTGACAGACTACAATTAATTAGGAAAAACAATACTCTATGTAAAATCAAATCACTCGCCTCTCCAAATGCAGAGATATGCACGAATCGTGGACCATACTTTCTTTTTTTTTTTTTTTTACAATTTCTTTTTTTTATTGTTAGTTTCAGGTGTACAGAACAATGCAATAGTTACCCTTTTCACCCTCACAAAGTAACAACCCCCCTCCCCCCATCCACTGCCCTCCCACCCCTGATATCATGCTTATCTACTGACAATGATTTAATGTTAGTTGTGGTGATGATTATAAATTTTACTGTGGATAACACATTTCACTTTATTAATTTAAAATCATATCAGTTGACTCCAGAATAATCAAGATAATAGACTGTGTCTCTTTGTATACATATATGTTTTGTTCAGTACCAGAGGGAAAGATTTGAAAGAGTCATCCTTTATTGTAGTATTAGAAGTAAAAGATTGTCAAAAATGTTAGACTTTCAATACAAATCCATTTTATAAAATGAAGGTTCAAATGGATTATCATCGTTTCGACCAGGACCATGCTCACTATTTCACTTAACCCATCTCAGACTTATCTGTGGCTAGTTATAATTCTGTTTTATAAAGACACTTTTGAGTGAGTAGTCCTGTCATTTGTAGTCTTGGAGACTTTTTGGCCTAGACTTTAGTTTGCGTCCAGCATTTTAGGACTTCACATGGTAATTTTAACTTTAAAGATTGGCCAACTGAGTCATAAAGCAGCATTTGACCATATCTGGAAGAAACTGAGAAGTATTTGGCATTTATATCTGCTTTCTTTTTTCACTTCTCATGTTGTAAAAAGCATACCATGTACTAAAGAGCTGTTTAAGAGTATTATATAGTAGAAAGATACAGTGAAACAGTACTCTAGCAGAGTAAGTGCTGAGTTGTTACCATCCTTTTTTATCCTTTTACCATCAACACTTGAATGTGTTTCTTTCATGGAATCAGCAGAATACAAGGGTTCATTAGGTATGCTCCCAGCCCCTTTTACGTAACACACAGGAGTCACTTGCATAAATGCTATATGAGCACCATTTTATGATATATAAAGAGCCATTTATCTTGACGTGAAAGAATTTGCAAGTGAGAAAACAGTGTCACTAAAATAGTATATTGACTTAAAAGTGGTATAAAATAAAAAAGTGCCTAAAAATGCCAAATTCGTTAAAATCAAGGTTTTTTTTCTCAAGTACTAAGAGAAAATGTGAAAAATAGTACTGTTGATATTTTATATTTAGCAATTTAATATTTTGCTGTACCTTCTTATGAGTAATTTATTTGAAATAGGTAGTAGTAATTATTATACCTTTTTTATAGATGAAGAAACTGAGGCATATAGATTTTAACGTCTCACCTAAGATAATATTGCTTCTAAAAGGTGGAGGCAGAAATACAGAGTAATCTGATGCCTAGATCAACATTCTTCCCTTTATATTCTATTACCTCATGACTTTTAAATTAAAATATCTTTTTGCTTACTTCAATAAGTTTCTATGTTTGCTTATAATGTTTCAGTTAAAACTAATTTTAAAGCCCCTCCCATCAATAGTGCTCAGACATTGCAATTAGCTAACAACAATAATTAAATTTGCTTTTCACAAAGAAAGATTATGTTTCTCATTGAATTCTTTAAAACATTTGTTTGTGTTTATAGGCTTGAAGGGTGGCAAAATTGTTTTTTGAGGAATTGAAAATTAGAAATACTTTTTGAGATGAGCTGATGTACATGCTTTTGTCAATAAGTTCTCAAATGAACATATAATATACAAACAAGCTTCTTCAGGGGCAGAAGAGATTTTTAATTTAGTTTATTTGCATCATTATAGATCAGTATTGAGGCTGTTTATATGTAAATGTATGATTTGAAGAACAATTAAGTGTTGACAAAGTAGATTGCAGTCATATCAATTGCAGTGCATTTTACATAATTTTTCTAACTGACATCTTTGATGATAAATAGTGGATGCCAAGTCAAAGCCGATTATACAGTGCACTAGGAATTCATGGGGCTGTCAGGGAGAAGACCAATTGACTTTAAATTTACATATTAATGAGAAGATTTGTTAAGAGAGTGCTTGACTATAGAAAATAACAGCGTATTTATAGGGCACGACATTTTATAAATAAAGCTGATGCAGGAAAATGGAAATTAAACCTTTTAGGTTAATAAATTCAAGAGACTGCTAAAATGCATATTTGCATTTTTATTCTCTTAAATTTACCTTACTCTTTGCAGTCCATGTGGGTTTTTGGGTTTTTTTTATTCTAGGTCAAGTTTGTATAATTTTCAAGGATGTAAAATTACTTAAATATTTTCTTTGTGTCATTCAACTTTTATGGGAGAGTACTTGAAGCATAAATGTAAATCTCTAAGACTAAAGTTGCTTTTGTAGGAGTAATGGATTTAAAAAAATGTTATAAAACACCAAGTAAACTTTAAGAGTGATT